ATATCGATATTTACACGATATTTAGGATTTACCTACGCATTTATTTATTCTAAGGCATTAGTATCGCCTTTATTAGACCGATTCTTACACATTTTACAGTTAGCAAAAGTATTAAATACTTAGATTACTTAACCGTAAAGGTAGATTATTTACCACAACATTTTTTTTTTCTCTTGTCTAAGCTAATCGATAAGATTAAAGCTAGTAGTCATTAGAGTTGAAAAGAAGAAGATGGAGAGGGAAGTTGCTAGCGCTGCCGTAGCTTTTCTGCTGCAAAAGCAACCAACGCCGCTGCTGATGATTTTAAGCGCACCGTAGCCAAAGTACTTGCCTCTGACAATTATAGTCAAAAGGACAATGCTTCAGATAAGGAAGTAGCCACTCCGCGTAAGGAGACTACTCCTCTGACAGAGCCCGAGGGCCAACTATGGCCTCAACTTCAGAGCTTGCATTAACGAAGCCAAGACGTGACGTCGACAGGCAATTACGCCCAAAGACTCAGGCTCGACACCTGAGTCATATGATCCAGAGGTACACAGCGTCGATATACCGTACGAGGCATTACTGCCAGAAAAACAGGCTAATCATTCGCCTGTTCTGACAACCGGCTGTGAGTCACCTGTCCTCAAAGATATTATAGACCGAGAGGTAAGGAGATATACTACGCCACTTATACCCAATTGGAAGGATACTCGTCGGAAACCAGTTAAGTCTGGGTATGTTATTCCGACGCCAAGGGATATTAAATATCATCTATCCCGACTTACATGGGAACAGTTTTATGATACTGTATCCACTCTTTTTCCCGCACATCGAGTAACATCGAAGAGAAACCCGTCTGTTAAGAAGCCGCGGAAGCTCACCGATCACGGGTACGTATCCAGGCAGACCTCAAACGAGAGACCCCAACATACACGTGCTCGCGAATCCACTTTATCCACGCGACCCAATAAACGGGCACGCGCAGGAGCGAAAGACATGGAACCTCCATTTAAGGAGATTAAGAAATGTGCCGACGCCCAGTGTGGATATGACATGTACCAGTTAACCCCTATCGGTTATTGGAATGGTAGACATGCATCCACCTGTACACAAAGTGTGACAAGTGTGAGAAGACCAATGGTTATCACACTAAGTCTTGTGACCAAAAGCCCAACATAAGTTGGAGTGAGGGTACTACTAGGTACAATCGTTACACAGACAATACAACGACTCTTTGAGCGTGCAATAATCCCTGTATATTGCAATGGAAATAAAATCCTTGCGTTGATAGATCCTGGTTCAGAAATTTCATGTATATCCGATCGCTTTGCATTATTTTAGCTGATAATAAAACTACTATGTGTGATACCATGGCCACAGATGTTAAAATATCCCTGGCCGATGATAGGAGTGTTACTACTCAAGCTGTGATAGTTAAGATGTCACAGAAGTACGACATTATAGTCGGAATGAGTGATTTACTCACTCTAGGTATAACCGTAACTGGTCTACCAACTAACATAGATACATTAAAAGATCAATCAGACGATAACGGTTTGAATCCATATAAGCCCCCGTCAGACACAGTCAAGGCATTAATACCTGACTTTGCGAACAAAATCATGGATCTGATTCTTTTTAATAAGAAAATAAAGATCACAGATTGGGCAAAATTCCGCTTTAACGACGGATATGTCAGCCTTGATATAACCAAGGTAGACTTTACACAGTTAAAGTGCCCTTCAAGGAACTATTTATCCTGGAGACACGAGGCTGTTGAAAAAGAACGAGTTGAGAAATGGCTAGCAGATGGTGTGATAGAAATTACCTATCAACAAACGCCAGTTAACTTGGCCCTGCTAGTCGTAGACCAACATAACTCTGACGGATCGTTTAAGAATGTCAGAGTATGTTTAGATATGAGTCCAATAAATAAATTATTGCCGACTCATAGCTTTCCCTTACCTCGTATTAACGAGCTACTGCGAAGGATAGAAGGTGCTACAGTGTTTACAACTATAGACCTTACACAAGGATTCCATCAAATGCAGGTATATGAACCCCACCGTAAATACTTTAGCTTTACGTGGAAAGGCAAACAATACCGGTTCAGAGGTGCACCCTTCGGGTTAC